ATCCCTCTGTTTATGCAGCCTAGAACTGTGTTGGCTTTTTTGGCAGCTGCTGCGCATGGCTGGCTCATATTTAAATGGTTCTCCACTAGGACTCCAAGATCCCTCTCACAGCTACTACTATTGAGCAAGGTACCACCTATACTGTACCTGCGCATTTCGTTTTTCTTGCCTAAATGTAGAACCTTACTTTTTGCACCATTGAATTTCATTTTGTTAGATAATGCCCAATGTTCAAGTTTGTCAAGATCCTCCTGTATCTTAAGCCTATCTATTTTTGTATTTTCATGTTAGGAGTGTGCAATCAAGATGACTGGATCAATGCTGTAAGGCCGGTGATAGAAAAACGGATACAAAAGTAAGTGTTCATATCTATATTTTAAGCTCTTGCTTTTACAAAATAAAAACATTTAGATTTTATTCTTGGTAAGCTAGCTGAAGAAATTGAAGCAATGGCTTTTACTTATCCGGTTATTTGTAGAAAACATTTTTTGGGAAATTCTCTTTTACTATGTCAGCCTTATGATCAACAGGCATGCTTTTATTTAGCTAATCCAGAAGCAGCTACAGTAGAGTTCTTCATACAACAGAAATAGGGATCCACTGTAACCATATCAAAAGTGCCTGCAGCTACTTGGCTTAGGAAAGGAATATATGGAGAATCATAACATAAACATATTATTCCATCTTCATTTTTATTTCAGTTACTTAGATTAAAACAAAAGTTACAATGTTATTTGCCCTCCTGAAATCTTTAAGCATCAAACGTCAGCTTTCAGGTAAGCATAGCTGACCACAATGTACACAAAAGGATTGGAGTCTCATCACAGGGGTTTTAATCAGGAGTGCTTTGTATATATTTGGCAACTATTAACACTTTGAAGGGCTCCATCACTGAACGTCTCCATTGTTTATGTGATAAATAGAGAGAAATGTTCAGTTTGAATCTTGGCTTTGTTTTGTTGTATTGTTAAAATGCTCCAAAAGGATTTAATATCTGAATATTTTGAAAATCATAACGTAGTAACAGTAATATGTAACAACTCTGTGTTTTGCAGGTATAGTGAAGGTGAGATAAGGTTTAATCTGATGGCAATTGTATCAGATAGAAAAATGATATACCAACAGAAAATTGCAAATCTGCAGAGACAGCTGGCTGAGGTATTTATCAATTAGATGCGCTTCTTTGTAATGACTGGGATGTGAGGGTGAATGAAATACCTGGAACACCTGATGCTACATTTTAGAAGCTAAGCTAAGTGATTTAAGAATATAAAATCATAAAGCAGGTATCAGATTTAGATAACATGATTTTTCCCGTTCCTTCCCTCCCCTTCCCCATTCAGTAACTAAGCATTATCAATTTCTTTTGAACCTTGAAAATGGTGAGCTAACATACTGAAATTAAACTGCCTTTATTTAACTTCAAAATGCATCTTCCAGAAACTATTACAATTTTGAATAACGTTTCTATCATTTTCCTAAAAGGGAGATTCTTCTAAAGAAAACTGCATTATACAGATTATTTGAAAAATATGACTTCTAGGGTAGACTATCAACTGCAGAACATTAGCAAATTAAGTGCAATTTGCCAAGCATTAAAATCAAGCACTAGAAGGCGGCAAAGAGGTGAATTGTATGCTTTAGAAAAGAAGTTTTTGTTTCATTTGATCAACAGTTCTGGAAAATACAAATGGTTGCATACAGTCTTGTGGTGTTACAATTGGTCCTAAAATAATATTGCCCAAATCAAGAGTTTGGATTTATTTTTCCTATATGTTAAGCTTTCTATGTATGTAAAAGTCTGCATCTGATGCTTTAGCTTTCAAAATATGGAATCAATTCTTTAGTTCAATGTATATTATTTATGTTCTGCATTTCTTGAATGGATGCTGTGTTCAAAATGCTGTTATTTAATTTACTAAAACTATTTTTCTCAACAGGAAGAGCCAATGGATACAGACCAGAGCTGTATAAGTTCCGTTCAATCTGAAGTTGCAAAGTATCAGATGTTAATTGAAGAAGAAAACCAAAAATTGAAAAGGTACAAGGTATGTAGATTGCTCCTTTTGAATAGCAGAAAGAGGTAATCTATTCGCTTGAAACATTAACCCTGTGCTAAGTTGTTTTCCACAGAGTGATAACCACTGTAGTATAATGTGCTCTTTAATGTTCAGAACAAAAGTAATCATAGAAACCAAATACCGTATTTTTGGGAGTATAAGACGCACCAAGGTTTTGAAGAGGCAATTTTTTTTAAAAAGTAGGTAGGTAGATAGAAGGATAGAGAGGGAGAAAAGAAAAAATACAATAGGTAGTTAGGGAGAGAAAGTAGGTTGGTAGATAGAGGGATAGAGAGACAGGAATAGAGAGAGAGGGAGAGAAATACAGTAGATAGGTAGGGAGAAACAGAGAGAGAGTAGATAGGTTGGTAGGGAGAGAGAGAAAAAAATATAGTAGATAGATAGAGAAGGAGGTAGATAGAGGGAGAGAAATACAGTAAGTAGGGAGAGAGTGAGTAGGTAGGTAGGTAGATGTTTCCAGGTGTATTTATCCATGTGC